TCGAACAGAACGGAATCGAGCCGGGCGATATCGTCCGTCGTCAGGTTGAGTTCGACGGCGGATTCGCCGAGTTCGATCTCGGCATCCTCCGGATAATCGTGGGGATGTTTTCCCGGGACGAGCGGAATGTCGAGCCGGGATTCCGGAAATTCGGAATCCCCGAAACCCACTCCGCCGGCATATCCACGTCGATCCCGCCGGAATACCGCGCCACGTAATTTCCGGCGTCGTCGATCGTGATCTCGTCGTTATCCCCGACGTTGATAATATCTCCCGCAGAAATAACTCCCGTCCCGAGCGGCAGGGTCAGGTCGTTTCCGATCGTAATATCGTCCGTATCCAGATCGGACAGATCGTATTGCTTGTCGATACACGAATATTGCCCCGCGAAAATTGCAAGAACAGCAATTCTGCAGGCTCCTCGTAGTATATTTACCATGTCGTTCGGGATTAGCGTATGTAACAGGATACGAAAAAACCGCTCTATGAGCGGCCCTGTGAAATCAGAGCGGAAGACGAGATTCGAACCCGCGACCCTTAGCTTGGAAGGCTAATGCTCTACCGACTGAGCTACTTCCGCAAAATCATGCCGGTATACACCGGATTACGTGTGGGCGGAGATGGATTCGAACCACCGAAGTCGAAAGACAGCAGATTTACAGTCTGCCCCATTTGGCCACTCTGGTATCCGCCCGTTTTATAAGAACCGTTTCGAAAAACCGCCGCCGTTTTCCCGGCCCGGCGGGCACAAAAGTAAAAACGATTTTTGAATTCTGCAACGACCATACGCTGTTTATCGAACTTTTATACGTATTTTATCGTTTCGCAGCACGTTTCGCCGCATCTATAAATCTTGCAATAAGCCATTTAGGCACCTAATCGCATTCCCGGACAAAATGAAATCCGGAAATCCGCGCCGAAGCGGATTTCCGGATTCCGGAGGTCGTGTCGATAAATGCGTTATATTTGTACCTGTCAAAAATCGCAGACATGATTTATCGAAGCAAGGCCCCGCTACGAATCGGCTTCGCCGGCGGAGGAACGGATGTCAGTCCCTATTCGGATATTTACGGCGGAGCCGTCCTGAACGCGACGATCTCCCTCTATGCTCGCGCCAGCATCGAACCGCTGTCCGAACGGAAAATCGTCTTGCAGACGCTCGATCAGGGACTCGCCTCCGAATACGGCCTGCACGGGGATCTGCCGATCGACGGAAATATGGATCTGCTGAAAGCCGTCTGCAATCATTTCCGCAGCCGTCACCGGATCGACGGGGATTCCGCTTGTGCACCTATGTGGACGCTCCGGCCGGATCGGGACTCGGATCGTCGTCGACGCTGGCGGTAGCCATTGCCGGTGCATTCGTAGAGTGGCTCAGGCTGCCGTTGGGCAGTTACGATATCGCCAGTCTGGCCTACCGGATCGAACGGGGCGAACTGGGATGGCCGGCGGAAAGCAGGATCAGTACGCCGCCACGTTCGGAGGCTTCATTACATGGAATTTTTCAAGGACGATAAAGTGATCGTCAATCCGCTCCGGGTGGACAAGGCTTGCACGAACGAACTGGAGAACAATCTGTTACTTTTTTACACATCGCAAAGCAGGATCTCCGCCAGAATCATCGAAGAGCAGCAGCGCAACGTGACGAACAACGACAGGGACTCCGTCGGGGCGATGCATGTCATCAAAGAGCAGGCGACCGAAATGAAGGAAGCGCTGCTGACCGGACGGATCGACCGGATCGGGGAGTTGCTGCACGAAGGGTTCGTCTACAAAAAAAAGATGGCCTCTTCGATATCGAACCCGCTGATCGACCGGATCTACGAAACGGCGCTCGAAGCCGGCGCGCTGGGCGGCAAGGTACTCGGAGCCGGCGCGGCGGGTTCATGGTCTTCTATTGCCCGGATTTCAAGCGCTACCAGGTCATGCAGTCGCTCGCCCCGTTCAACGGGATTTTCAAAACTTATCAATTCGTAAAAGACGGTTTATTTACATGGAGTATATGAGTATGGAACAACGCGAAGGAATCGTACTGGCGGGAGGCCTCGGAACGCGCCTGCGCAGCGTGGTCAGCGATCTGCCCAAATGCATGGCGCCCGTGGCAGGACGTCCGTTTTTATACTATTTGTTAAAATATATGGAAGTCCGGCGCTTTACGCGCGTGGTACTCGCCCTCGGCTACATGCACGAATCGGTACAGCGGTGGCTCGCCGGCGAAAAATGGGATTTTGAGATACGCTGCTCGCTGGAGGAAACTCCTCTGGGAACGGGCGGAGCCGTCCGGCAGGCGCTGAGCCGGACGGACGGAGACGAAGTCTATATCCTGAACGGGGACACGTTCTTCGACGTCGATACGGACGAAATGCCCGCGTACACCGGGCGAGCGGAGCCGCCGCGACGATCGCGCTGAAACCGATGACCGATTTCTCGCGTTACGGCGTAGTCGAAACCGCTCCGCAGGGGAGGATCGTCGCGTTCCGCGAAAAAAAATACTGCCCGCGCGGACAGATCAACGGCGGCGTCTACCTGGTCGACAAAAAATCGGGACTGCTGGACTTCCCGTCCGAACGGTTCTCGTTCGAAACGGATATTTTGCAGCAACGAGTGCGGGATTGTCTGCTCACCGGATATGCGAGCGACGGTTATTTCATCGACATCGGCATTCCTGAAGATTACGAAAAAGCCGATACGGATTTCAAAACGCTGTTTCCGCGATGACCGTGCAAACCGCTTTCGACACGCTGTTTCTGGATAGGGACGGGGTCATCAACGTACTGCGTCCGCACGATTACGTCAAATCGTGGGACGAATTCGAATTTACCGATGGAGCGATCGAAGCGCTGAGGATGCTGAGTCCGCTTTTCCGGCATATCGTCGTCGTCACCAATCAGCGCGGCGTCGGGAAAGGAGTGATGACCGAAGAGGCCCTGCGGACGATCCACCGGAGAATGATCGAAGCGGTCGCCGCCGGCGGAGGCCGGATCGACGCCGTTTACTACTGTGCCGACCGGAACGAAGACAGCCCGAACCGGAAGCCGAATACCGGTATGGCCTTGCAAGCCCGCAGGGACTTTCCGGACATCGATTTTTCGAAGACCATACTGGTCGGCGACAGCGGCAGCGACATGGAGTTCGGCCGGAGAATCGGAGCCCGAACGGTGCTGATACATCCGGACGATCCCGCCGCGGCGCTCGGATCCTTGTACGATTTTTCGCTGCGGTACTGCGAAGAACACGGTTCTGGAGTTTAAAAAACGCGAAACCGCTCGGATCATACCGCAGCCGAATCTCTCCTGCGGTCGAATTACGGAGAAGCAGATATTCCGAACGAGCAAAAACATTGTCGATCCGGATCTTATGCGTACATTTGTTCCGTAAACGAATCCGATCCATAACAGCCCCTTTGCATGAAACCGATCCTGAAGACTCTTTTGATCCTGTTCGCGTTATCGCTGCGACGCAGCGGCTCGACGCTCAGATCTACGCGAAACTGAACGGCCTTTACGCCCTGGTGGGCGTTATCAATCCGGCCGTGGAATTCACCGTTTCTCCGAAATCGACTTTCCAGACCGAAATCGTTTTTTCTCCCTGGAAATACGTCAACGACCACGGTGTCGACAAGCCGATGAAATTCGGAATTCTCATGACCGAATACCGCCGCTATTTCAAGCAACACAACTGGGCTGGTATCTCGGCGCCAACATGGGTATGATGGGATTCAAATGTCGAAACCGCAGTTTTCGGACGGCTGGTTCCTCGAAAACCGGTACAGCAAAGGGTACGGGATGATGATCGGTATCTGCGGCGGCTTCGAATACCAGTTCGCCGACCGTTGGCTGCTGGACGCCTATTTCGGATGGTCATACATGCTAAGCTGGTACAACGGTTATAGCCTCGACGGCACGATCGACCTGTATCCCCACCGTCCCGTACAACTCGAAAAGCCCGATCCGTTCAATGGCTCGCACGAGTGGCTGCCGAACAAGATCGGGGTGTCGATCGGATTCATGATCAACCCGGCGCGCCGGGGACGCACGGGAAGTTCCTGCGCCGTAAGATAGTTATTCCGTTTTCGGCTTTCTGAACCGGAATCCGTTGATCAAACCGGATATCCCGTAAACCATGCTGGTAATGCCGAACAGAATGAACGCCGTTTCGGCGACGCTGAACGGGTCGAACAGGATGACGATTCCGCAGATCAGGATCAGTACCGGCACCACGTAGAAGAAACCGGGCACCTGCGTCCACCGGCGGGCCGAAGCCAGCGATGCGATTTGCTGAATCCCGGCTATCACCAGCAGCGCTCCGAGCACATACATCAGGATGTTGACGAAAAAGGCGGGCATCACGATCAGCCACAGCCCGAACAGCGCGCTTCCGGCGCCTTCGATCGGGAACGCCGCATCGGGATAACGTTCTTTATCGCGCATCAGATAACCGATCATCGCGATCAGGCCCGGCACCAGGAACAGCACGCCGATTACGATGACCAGATAATTGATCGTGGCGGCCGGCCACAAAACCAGAATCAGTCCCAGCACGATGGCGAAGATGCTCCGCAGGGCCGGATTATTGACGACTTTCATAATTTTTTCGGTTTTATCAGATTGTTGAAACGAATATACTGCCAATCATGGAGATAATCAAGGGATCGGTCGGTTTTTCGTATCAATAGATCGGTTTTTTACAAAAATGTTTTTGATTTTTTAAAACTATTCCTACCTTTGAACCGTAAACAGAAACGAAAATGAAAGCATTCCGTTTGAATAATTGGTGGTGGCGCATCCTACAACTTCCTCAGTCGTAAGGTTGCGGACTCGCGTATCTGTTCAAAACGAAACCAAAGATAACAAAGAGCCCTGTCGTACTTACGACAGGGCTCTTTCCGTATGACGACTAAAACAAAATCATAAAAACGAAACCGATGAAAACATTTCAAGTAGACGAAACGGCTATTACGGCAGGTTCGGCGGGGCTTACGTTCCCGAAATTCTTTACCGATGCGTAAAAACCTGCAAGACAACTACCTGACCGTTATGCAGTCGGAAGCGTTCCGCCGCGAATTCGATCAACTGCTGCGCGACTATGTCGGTCGCCCTTCCCCGCTCTATTTCGCACAGCGCCTGTCCGAACGGTACGGCTGCAGGATCTACCTCAAACGCGAAGACCTGAACCATACCGGAGCGCACAAGATCAACAATACGATCGGACAGATCCTGATCGCGCAACAGATGGGCAAAACCCGTATCATCGCCGAAACGGGTGCAGGGCAGCACGGTGTGGCTACCGCTACGGTCTGCGCGCTGAAAAACATGCGGTGCATCGTCTACATGGGCAAGACCGACGTAGAACGTCAGTATACGAATGTGCAGAAAATGAAAATGTTGGGCGCCGAAGTGCGCCCGGTCACTTCGGGCAACATGACGCTGAAGGACGCCACGAACGAGGCAATCCGCGACTGGTGCTGCCACCCGACCGACACGCACTACATCATCGGCTCGACGGTCGGCCCTCACCCTTACCCCGATATGGTGGCCCGGCTACAATCGGTCATCAGCGAGGAGATCCGCAAACAACTGCAGCAGCAGGAATGCCGCGACTATCCGGACTACCTGATAGCCTGTGTCGGCGGCGGCAGCAATGCGGCCGGAACAATTTACCACTACATCGACGACCGGCGCGTGAAGATCGTACTGGCCGAGGCCGGTGGAAAAGGCGTCGACTCGGGATTGTCGGCTGCAACCATTCATTTAGGCGAAGAGGGTATTATTCATGGGGCCAGAACACTGGTCATGCAGAACGAGGACGGACAGATCGAAGAGCCCTACTCGATCTCGGCCGGATTGGATTATCCGGCATCGGTCCGGTTCACGCGAACCTCGCCGCGCAAAGCGGGCGACCGTGCTGGCTGTCAACGACGACGAAGCGCTGTATGCCGCATTCGAACTGACGCGTCTGGAAGGTATCATCCCGGCCCTGGAATCGGCCCACGCGCTGGGCGCGTTGCCGAAAATGCATTTCAAACCGGAAGACGTCGTCGTGTTGACCGTATCCGGCCGGGGCGACAAAGATATCGAAACCTATATCAAACAAATGAAAAACGATGAAAACATTTCGTTATAAAACCGCCTGCAAGCAGGTTCTGGGGATCTGCATACGCCGGTAAGCATCTACCTGAAAGTCCGCGACATCTATCCGCAGTCGGCCCTGCTGGAGAGTTCCGATTTCCATGCCGGCGAAAATTCGCTCTCTTATATCGCGCTGTGTCCGCTGGCCAGCTTCGGCGTGAACGGCGATGTTTGTACGATGTTTTTCCCCGACCGCACGGTATTCCGCGAGCCGGTCGGCGAATCGCTCTCCGTGACCGACGCGCTGAACGCATTCCTGAAAAAATTCCGGATCGAAGGCGAACAGGCCGAACGCTGCGGCCTGTTCGGATACACGGCATTCGACGCCGTCAAATACTTCGAGAAGATCCCGGTGATCGAAAGCCACGACGCGCAGAACGATGCGCCGGACATAATGTATATCCTTTATAAATACTTATTAGTATTCAATCATTTCAAGAATGAATTGATGTTGATCGAGCTACTCTCGGACGGCGAAAATACGCGTCTGCACGAAATCGAAAGCGTGATCGGCAACCGCAATTTCGCTTCCTACGACTTCTCGTTGCGAGGGAAAGAATACAGCACGATCACCGACGAGCAATACCAGGAATTCGTTCGCAGGGGAGTCGCCCACTGCCGCCGCGGAGACGTTTTCCAGATCGTACTGTCGCGGCGATTCGTGCAGCCGTATGCCGGGGACGACTTCAAAGTCTACCGCGCGCTGCGCAGCGTCAACCCGTCGCCCTACCTTTTCTATTTCAATTTCGGAGGGTTTCGCATTTTCGGATCGTCGCCGGAAACCCACTGCAAAGTGCAGAACGGCCGCGCCAGTATCGATCCGATCGCCGGTACGACCCGGCGCACCGGCGACGCGCTGAAAGACAAGCAACTGGCCGACGCGCTGCTGCGGGATCCGAAGGAGAACGCCGAACACGTGATGCTCGTCGATCTCGCCCGCAACGACCTGAGCCGCAACGCCGTAAACGTGAAAGTAGATTTCTATAAGGAGCCGCAATATTACAGCCACGTGATCCATCTGGTTTCGCGCGTCAGCGGCGTGATCGAACCGGACAGCAACCCGGTTCAAACATTCGTCGACACCTTCCCCGCCGGCACGCTGAGCGGCGCGCCGAAAGTCCGCGCCATGCAGTTGATCTCCGAGATCGAACCGCACAGCCGGGGCGCCTACGGCGGCTGCATCGGATTTATCGGACTGGACGGCAACTTGAACCAGGCGATCACGATCCGCACGCTGGTCAGCCGCAACAACGAACTATGGTATCAGGCCGGAGCCGGGATCGTCGCACAGAGTATCCCGGAAAACGAGCTGCAGGAGGTGAATAACAAACTCCGCGCGCTGAAAAATGCGATCGATATCGCCGTCAACCTTAAAAACTAATGCCATGAAAATACTTTGTTCGACAATTACGACTCGTTTACTTACAACCTGTTGCATATCCTGAAAGAGTTCGGCGCGGACACGGAGGTTTTCCGCAACGACCGGATTACGCTCGATGAGGTCGCGCGATTCGACAAGATCATCCTGTCGCCGGGACCCGGCATTCCGCAGGAGGCCGGCATCCTGCTGCCGCTGATCGAACGTTATGCCGCCGAAAAAAGCATTCTCGGGGTCTGCCTCGGCGAGCAGGCGATCGGCCAGGCATTCGGCGGGACGCTCGAAAACCTCGAAAACGTCTATCACGGAGTGCAGACCCCGATCAGGCTGCTGGCCGCCGATTATATCTTCGACGGACTGGAATCGGAAATGCAGGTAGGACGCTACCACTCGTGGGTCGTACGACGCGACACGCTGCCGGACTGTCTCGAAGTGACGGCCGAAGACGCCGACGGACGGATCATGGGATTGCGCCACACACGCTACGACGTGCACGGCGTGCAGTTTCACCCCGAATCGGTGCTTACGCCGCGGGGCTGTGCGATCATCGAAAATTTCATTCGTCATTAATCATCTGATATAAAGCCATGAAAGAGATCCTATATAAACTTTTCGAACACCAATATCTGGGACGAAAAGAAGCGCGGGAGATCCTGCAGGAATCACGCAGGGCAAATACAACGACGCGCAGATCGCCTCGTTGATTACGGTATTTCTAATGCGCAGTATTTCGGTCGAGGAACTGATCGGATTCCGCGAAGCGTTGCTGGAAATGCGGATTCCGGTCGACCTGAACGAATTCGGGCCGATCGACATCGTCGGAACCGGCGGCGACGGCAAGAACACGTTCAACGTTTCGACCTGCGCCTGTTTCGTCGTGGCGGGAGCCGGCTATCCGGTCGTCAAACACGGCAATTACGGCGCGACATCGGTCAGCGGAGCGAGCAACGTGATGGAACAGCACGACGTGAAATTTACGGCCGATAACGATTCCCTGCGTCGGTCGCTCGAACGGTGCAACATCGCTTACCTGCACGCCCCGCTGTTCAATCGGGCGCTGAAAGCCGTCGCCCCGATCCGCAAGGCGCTCGGCGTTCGCACCTTTTTCAACATGCTGGGCCCGTTAGTCAACCCGGTGATGCCGACATACCAGTTGCTCGGAGTCTACAACCTGCCGTTGCTGCGCCTGTACAATTACACGTATCAGGAGAGCGGGACGCAATTCGCCGTCGTGCACAGCCTCGACGGATACGACGAGATTTCGCTGACGTCGGATTTCAAAGTGGCCATGCCGGACAGCGAAAAGCTCTATTCGCCCGAAGAACTCGGATTCGCGCGCTGTCGGGAAGCCGACCTGTACGGCGGCGACACTCCGGAAGAAGCCGCCGCCATTTTCGATCGGGTATTACAGGGCACGGCTACGCCGGCGCAGTCCAATTGCGTAATTGCAAACGCGGCCTTCGCGATCCGGGTAATGCGTCCCGAAAAGTCGATCGATACCTGCATCGCCGAAGCCCGCGAGTCGCTCGCGGCGGGAAAAAGCCCTGCATACATTCGAAAAATTCGTCGAACTGAACAGCTAATACGATGAAAGACATCTTACAGGAGATTATTGCAGCCAAACGGATTGCCGTGGAACAACTCAAACGGACGGCCGACCGGAGCGCATTGGAACGTAAAAATAGACGAGAACCGTTCGCACAGGTCGATGCGCGAAGCGCTCGCGGCATCGACCTCGGGCATCATCGCCGAATTCAAACGGCGGTCCCCATCGAAAGGATGGATTAACCGGGAGGCCGATGTCCGCACGGTCGCGTCCGATTACCAGGCCAACGGAGCCGCCGCCCTGTCGATCCTAACCGATACGCCCTATTTCGGAGGTTCGGCCGAAGACCTGATCGCAGCCCGTCCGCAGATCGACATTCCGATTCTGCGTAAGGATTTACGATCGACGAATTTCAGCTTTACGAGAGCCGGGCGATCGGGGCCGACGCGGTATTGCTGATCGCAGCGGCGCTACCGCTCGCCCGTTGCCGGGAACTGGCGGCGACAGCGCATCGGCTAGGACTGGAAGTATTACTTGAGATACACAGCGAAAAGGAGCTGGATTACATCTCGGACGAAGTCGATATGATCGGCGTCAACAACCGCAATTTAGGTACGTTCGACACTCGCGTCGGGAACTCGTTCCGGCTGGCAGGACAGCTACCGCAAGACCGGCTGTTGGTGTCCGAAAGCGGAATTTCGGATCCGGAAACCGTGAAGAAACTGCGCGAAGCGGGTTTCCGGGGCTTCCTGATCGGCGAGAATTTCATGAAACTGCCGACCCCGGATACGGACTCGACACATTTATTAAAACTTTAAATCTATAAAACCATGATCTTTAAGGTGTGCGGAATGCGCGATCCGGAAAATATCCGGCGGATCGACCTAGCGGGGCCGACTGGATGGGATTCGTTTTTATCCCCCGTCGCCGCGTCGGGTGGAAAGCCTGCCCGCATTCATGCCGGAATACGCCCGGCGGGTCGGAGTTTTCGTTGACGAGCCCGTGGAAAATATTCAGGTACGCGCAAAGGAGTTCGGACTGGATTACCTGCAACTGCACGGTTCGGAATCGCCCGACGACTGCCTCCGACTGCAAGATCGGGGACTCCGTGTTATCAAAGCGTTCCGGATCGGGACGGCGGGCGACCTCGAAGCGACCGCCGCTTACGAAGCCGCCTGTTCCTACTTCCTTTTCGATACGAAAACCCCGGCCTACGGCGGTTCCGGAAAAACTTTCGACTGGACGGTACTCGACGCTTACCGCGGCCAAACGCCGTTCCTGCTCAGCGGCGGCATCGGCCCGGAACACGTCCGGGCTTTGAAGGCGTTCCGTCACGACCGGCTGGTCGGATACGACCTAAACAGCCGATTCGAACAGGCTCCGGGTATCAAAGACGTCGAAAAAATAACGCGATTTATTCAGGATATGAAATGTAAAAAATAAGAAAACATGAACAGAATCAATCGACTTTTCAGCCATGCGGATAAAAAACTGTTATCCGTCTATTTTTGCGCCGGCTACCCTACCGCCGACAGCACCGCCGGGATTATCCGCGCCCTCGAAAACAGGGGAATCGACCTGATCGAAATCGGCATCCCGTTCAGCGATCCGATGGCCGACGGAGAAGTGATCCAGCACGCAGCCACGCAGGCTCTTCGGAACGGCATGAGCCTGAAACGATTGTTCGGGCAGCTTTCGGACATCCGGAAAACCGTCGAAATCCCGTTGATCCTGATGGGTTATCTGAACCCGGTGCTTCGGTTCGGGTTCGAAAACTTTTGCCGGAAATGCGTCGAATACGGCATCGACGGATGCATCATCCCCGACCTGCCGTTCCAGGAGTATCAGCAGCATTACCGCAGCATCGCCGAACGCTACGGCCTCAAAGTGATCATGTTGATCACACCGGAGACCAGCGACGAACGTATCCGGCTGATCGACAGCAATACGGACGGCTTCATCTACATGGTTTCATCGAGCGCCACGACCGGAGCGCAACAGGACTTCGACGCCCGGAAACAGGATTATTTCCGCCGGATCGACGCAATGCGGCTGCGTAACCCGCGGATGATCGGATTCGGAATTTCGAACCGTGCGACGCTGCAAGCCGCTTACGACCATGCGTCCGGCGCCATTGTCGGCAGTAAATTCGTTTCGCTGCTCGGCGAGACGAATACGCCGGAGCAAGCGATCGAACGCCTGCTGGAAACACTCGAAAAATAAACGATCCGGGAAGCGAACGATCAGCCGTGCGACGGAACTTTTGTTCGCGCGGCCGATCGTTTCACCCGTTCGTACAGGTGCGCGATCTCCGTACGGGCGAACACGTGCTCCGTCAGTGCATCCAACGCTGCAAATGCCACGGGCGTAATAGGCACTGTTTTCGACGCAGCGGAAACACTGTTCTAAAGGATTTCGAGCAACCGATCCGGCTCGTCGATGATGTATTTCGCGCCGTGTTCCTCAAGTTCCGCGCGCGGACGGAATCCCCACGTAACGCCGACCGAACGCAATCCGCTGTTGGCCGCGGTCAACATATCGACTTTGGAATCGCCCACATAAAGGGTTTCCGTTTTTTTGCAGCCCGTTTCGCAAAGAATGTCGAACACGATGGTCGGATCGGGTTTCGGCTCGATTCCTTCCCGTTGGCCAAGCACGACGCAAAACGTACCCGCGGGAAATAACGGTCGATCAGTTTGGCGGTGGCCGCCTGATATTTGTTCGACGCGACGGCCATACGGACGCCCCGTTCCGCGATTTTCCCCACCAGCGATTCGATCCCGGATAGGGCCGGGTACGATCGGTATTGTGTTCCGAGTAATAGTCCACGAAATCCCGCCGCACCCGCATGACGGTCTCTTCGTCTCGCGCCGCTTCGGGCAGGGCGCGTTCGACCAGCCGGGTAATGCCGTTGCCGACGAAATAACGGTATGCCGAACGTTCATGCGCCGGATAGCCGTTCTGTTGCAGCGCATGGTTCGTAGCGGCAGCCAGATCGTCGATCGTATCGAGCAGCGTCCCGTCAAGGTCGAATATAACCAGTTTGGTATCCATGAAAATCAGATTTATCCTGCAAAAGTAGCCTTTTGCAGAGAGCTATCCTAACGATCCGGCGAAAAACAGCCTTCCGGATCAGAACGGATACCCGATCGCCACGTGGAATCCGAGTCCGTCCTTGAATTTCGAAATGTTGTAATACCCCGCTTGTCGGGATTCGGATAAGGGGTGTGCAGCGCAATGCCGAGATCGGCGCGCAATACCAGGTAGCTGATGTCGTAACGGAGCCCGAACCCGGTTCCGAGCGCGATCTCGTTGAAGAAACCGCGCCATTTGAGCACGCCGCCCGGACGGTTCGGATCGTTTTTGAGCAGCCAGATATTCCCGGCATCCAGAAATACGGCTCCGCCCAGCCGCCCCATAATCCCGAAACGGAATTCCACATTGGCTTCCAGCTTGAAATCGCCGGTCTGGTCGAGATAACTGTTGCGGTCGTTCTGGGCCGGATGATAACTGCCGGGGCCGATCGAACGGATCGTAAACGCCCGGATGCTGTTGGCCCCGCCGATATAAAATTGTTCGCTGTACGGCATGACGCTCGAATTGCCGTAGGCATACCCGGCTCCGACCAGAAAACGGTAAGCGAGCCAGTTGTTCTTATCGCCGAGCTTCTGGTAAAACTTCACCTCGTTCACATCTTTGATAAACTGCGAGAACTGGTTATTGAACAGCCGTTTGGTTCCGTGCTGACCGCAGGCTTCCCAAATCGCGTACAGCAGGTTGCCCGCCGAGGTGACGGTGTTCTGCCAGAAAAAACGGTTGCGCCGGTACGTCCGGTCGTACGTGTAGGAATAGCTCATCGCCGGAATAAACTGATCTCTGAAACTCAATGCGATGGCCGGGTTCTCGTCCATCGTCTGGTCGAACGATTCGGTCGTATGGAGCAGGTTGTTGTACGAGAGCTTCAGCAGCGAAAGGGAGTGGTAGCTGTACGGCGAAGTCTGGAAATTATAACCTATCGACCCGCTGAAAGAGATCAACTGGAAGAACTTCGGCCGGTTCATCAAATCGACGCCCAACTGGAAAGATGTGCTGGACGGATAGCGGCTGCCTTTGGTGATAAACCGCGGCAGCAGCAACCGTTGCACATTCAGCGTAGCGTTCAGGCCGAATTCGTACGAATTGAGCAACGACGTTTTGGCGCCGCCCGAGTTTTTATTGCCGGTTTCCCATTCGTAGTTGCCGTTCAGCCGCAACGAGAGTATCTCGCCGCCCCGGAACAGGTTGTTGTTGCTGACTTTGAAGGCCAGTCCCGGGCCCAGGAAGCTGTTCGACTTCGAAGTGACGTTCATCTCCAGTTCCGCTTCGAGCGGATAATCGAATCCGGCAGACAAATAGACGTTCAGCGTATCTTTGCCGTCCAGCGAGTCCAGCGGCGTGACGCCGAGGTTCACCGAACGGAAAATGCCGAGTTTATTCAGGTTGGACAACGTCGTATTCTGAGCGTCACCGTAAACAGGTCGCCCGTTTTCATCGTAATGGATTTCGCCAGCAACTTCGGCCGGATCTTCAGCGGTTTCTGGTAAACGACCGTCTGGCCGGGCAAGTGCAGCGTGTCGGGCGCTCCGCCGCGGATATTTTGCAGCGATACGGTGATGCGTCCCACCCGGTACGGAACCAGCGCCGGGGCCGGAATCCCGGGAGTCAGCCTCATCCGCAGATCGACGCGGTTTTTCTGTTGCGTCGTATCGGCTTGATAATCGATGTATTCCGGTCGGAAATAATAATAACCACGATTTCGCAACACGTTCGTAATCCGGGTTCGTTCGGCCGACAGCGTATCGGTATTGTACTGCGCGCCCACGCGTAGCAGCGAGGTGCTTTCGAGGCTGTCGACCAAACGAGCCATCCCTTCCTGTACCTGCGGATAGCGAATTTCCATGTAGACCGAAGGCTGTCCGACCCGATCGAATAGCTGATTTTCGCCTTTTTCGGATTACGGCGCGGCAGCAGTTCGTAACCCGCGTCCGCATCGAAATAGCCGTAATTGCCCAGCACGTCGTCGACATATTTCGTCCGGATTTCGGGCTGCACTTTCGAAACCAGCACAGGCTGTTTCGAGAGCTTCCGGTACAGCCAATATTTAAACCCCTTCTCTTTGGGCGTGTAAAGATGGTTGTAAGCCCATAAACCGACCGGAGCGGAGTGCGTATATACGGGGAGTATAACGGATTGTTCGGTTTTACCGAAAGCGGAGCTTTAATGGCCGATTCTACGGTCGAAGAGAGCTCTACGCCCGAATCGGGACGGATCGCTATCTTCTTGACGCCGGTGTACAACACCTCGTCCTGCCCCAGCCGACTGGTCGTCGACAACCGGCGGCCGAAAGCGCGACGGCGATCCCGATGATTCCGTAACGAACGATTCTATTCATGGGGCGACTGTTTTGGAGGGGTTTGCGGCTGAACTTTATTGCGCATGATGCGGAACAGGTCGCCGAGTTTGAGCATCTTCTTTCGGATGACAAAACCCACGCCGGTTTCGGTGATCTCGCCTTCCAGAATACTTTCGTACCCGGTATGCCTGAATATTTTCAGGAACATGTTGTCGCGTTTGGTCAACTGGTACTCCAGCGCCACGTCGTCGATCAGGTTCTCTTTCAGGTTCTCGGTCGGATCGGCGTCGGTGCTGAACTTGCCGCCGATCACCGCCTTCACGCGGTTGTTGAACAGACTTTTCGAAAGCTGGTACGAGTAATCCGTCCGGAATTGACGCCGCCGGAGGCCGCGTCGTCGTAGGTATCGATTCCGAAACTCAGGTCGACTCCCTTCAGGCTGTTCGAGGCCCACTGGTTCAGTTCCTTTTCGATGAACGAATTCAGCGGATTCGCCGAATTGACCTTAGCCGTCGTGCCGGGGCCGGAATACGTATTGTACACCAACAGACTCATCGCCTGCGTAGCCCGTTGTTCGGCGGTCAGCGACGAAAGCTGGTTCTGGATCGTCAGGTCTTCCGGAGCCGACAGGTCGAACGTCACGGAAAGGTTTTCGAGCGTATTGCGGATATTGATGCTGATGTTGAAATTGACCGGACGACTGGAACCCTGTCCGTCGTCGGCCGTAACGCTGGTGCGTACCGTTTCGACGGCCGTGATGTTCAATGTCGGGTCGGCGATCTGGCCGATCCACTCGACGTAACTGCCCTGCGTAATCTTGAAAATTTTCTGGGAGATCACGGGCGGATTGTAACGGACGGTTCCGCCGGTCACTACGTATTTCCCCGAAAAACGGCTGTCGCCGAGACGGTTCATCGAATAGGTCAGGTTTCCGCCTCCCTGCAGGTCGACACGATTCTCCCCGTCCGCCGAAAGGTTGACGGCCATCCGCACCGAATTGTCGACATTGACATTCATCAGGACGTCCATTCCGGCGATATCGAGCACGGGCACCGGCCTGTCCTGCCGTTGAGACACGGTATCGCTGAACGAAACGAACGTAACCATGTTCTGGGCGCGGTTTTTCAGTTCGGGCGGCGCATCCTGCATGACGTAATTGACCTCCGTTCCGCGCAGCAGGTCGACGCTGCCCCGGATCATCAGGTCGTCGATTTCCCCTTTCACCGTGGCCTCCATATCCATATAACCTGCCCGTATACCATCGACCCTCTGTTCTTCGCGACGTTGATAAACTGGAAATCGGTCGCGGCGATCCGCAAATCCGTCGTAATGTCGGCGAAATCCGCAATGTCCACTTCGCCGTCGATCGTCAGCGGTTTTTTATTCGGGGCGATGATCCGGTAACCCGTAAAACGCACCCGGCTGCTGTCGATCACAATTTTTTCCGTTCCCAACCCGAAAGTCGTACCGATCATAGGCACCTGCACCTGTGTTCCGGCGAAGTGAAGCGCCCCGTCGATCTTGGGTTTTGCGGAAGTTCCGGCCAGGGTCAGTTTGCCTTGCAGCGCACCGGAAAGACGCACGGCGTCTGGCGGCAGGAACGCATTGGCCGGAGCGAGCGGCAGGCCGGGAATCGACACGGTCAGTCCGAGCGGATTCTCCGTATCCCCGCCGCGGTACACGCCGTCCACGCTCAGCGCTTCGGCGCCGTCCAACGAGAGTTTCGCGGAGAGTTGCTGCTGTCGCTGTTCTCCCTGTCCGTAACGGAAGGCCAGCTCGGCGTTTCCGATCCGTTGGTTTTCATACCCCAATTCGGCCAGCGAAACGGAGC